AGTGTCACAATGGAGATACTACTGGGCCCGCTTGAGCAAATTGATGAACAATGGGGAACAGTGACAGTAACAGTGACAAGTCATATGGGAGTTCTATTCCTTTCTAGAAAGATCTTTGTATTGCTTTCCACAGAGGTTGAATCAGAAGGCATTCCCATCAGCAGTGAACAAACCCACCAACACTGACTGCTTCCAAATTGTCTTATCTGTTATTCTTAATAAAATGATATCTCATTGTGGTTTTGATTTGCATTTCCCTGATCAGGGGGAGTTTTATAGTTCCAGATTTTAGTCATTTGTTGCAGGTCTTTGAAGAGTGTCATTGGACTTTTAATGGCTATTGCATTAAATCTGTAAAATGTTTTTGGAAGAAAGGTCATTTTGGCAATGTTGATTCTTCCAATCTATGAACAGGAAATGTCTCTTCATTTCCAAGTGCCCTCTTCTATTTCTTGTAACAGTGATCTTTTAAATTTTCTCTTTCATTCTTGCATACAGAAATATCAGATTTTGTAAATTAAATTTGTAACCTACCATAAAGTATTGATTATTGCTTTTAAGAACTTTTTTGGGGGGCTGGAATGACACCACAGTGGGTAGGGCATTTGCCTTGTACGTGGCCGACCCGGGTTCGATTCCCAGCATCCCATGTGGTCCCCCGAGCACCGCCATTTGTAATTCCTGAGTGTATGAGCCAGCGGTAACCCCTGTGCATCGCCGGGTGCCCAAAAAGCAAAAAATAAAGAACTTTTTGGTGGAGTCCTTAGAGTTTGCAATGTCTCAACTACAATAGTGAGAGTTTAAGATCTTCAAATTTAGACCTGGGATCCCATTTCTTCGTTTTACTCTGGTTGCTTCTCTTCACCGTTCCTGTGGACGCTCTTCAGACAGTGGGGCTCTGCAGAACTTTCTCTCTGAGGCCCCATTCATGCTTGCTTTAATATATTCCCCTTGCAATTCTGTTGGGGGATTCCCCAGGAGATTCTGTTTGCTCCATTTTGTCCTCTTGGTTGCACCTCTCCCCCATCTTCCTCTCTTTACTATTATTCCAAACCTGTCCTCAATAATATTTATCTCCAAAACCCTTTTGCTTGTCAACTATTCATAGAATTGCAGACAGATGCCAATTTTGTAATTCTGGTCTTTTTATTTATTTATTTAATTTAATCATGCACATTTCCTCTCAGGAAGTTTATTCATGCCACTACTTAATTTCCCTCCTAAAACATGGATTGTTCCATCAGTCTAACACAGCCCAGGATTTCTGTCTTCCTAATAAACAATGAAGCTTAGAACTGGATCACTTGTCCCTTTCTCTTTTTATCGCCTCCCAGTTCAAAATGTTTGCATCTCTTAATGGCCAGCATTCTCTTAGATCTGCAGTTGGGCTCGACACATTCAAGTCTCAACAATCTTCTTTGTAGTTTTAGCCTTTTTCCGGAAAACAGGCTTAGTCTGACCTTCACAGCCACTCTGCTTCCTATCATAATGATGCTTTCCCTGGGCATGCAGAGAATCTTTGCCCTTCTGTATTGTGTGACTTTGTGGGGCTGATGTTTGCCACATTTCTTACAAAAAGTCTGGCGGATTTTCGGTATGTTCACCATGCTTGTGGCAGCAGTGTCCGTGAGGAAAGGAAAGCAATTCTGGTCTTTTTAAAAACAATCAAATATGTATTTTCAATTAGGTAACTATTTTTTTAAAAGTTCTTGAGCAAATCCAATTTAATCCAAATTGACTGAAAGACAATTTAGTCCACCCCATTCAGTTCCTTCATCAGTTGACCACAGTAATGGTATTCATTCTCTCATTTAGTCTTATGAGCTTGTCTTCGTCTCTGATGCCCTTTTCTTTTTCTCACTATGCCTAAGTTTGATGGATTCCACTACAAGGATTTTTATTCTATTTTCTGAATCCCACTGTGTCCTTAGTCCATATGTCCCCTATTTTCTGTATCTATTATTTTAAAAAGCTTCCTAGAATTCTCATCCAAATCAATTTCTAGAATTTTCTACTACTTGCCATTTTAATCTCTTTAAAGGACTTTGATTATTCTTTTTGTATTGATGCTGTTGGTAGTGTTATTGGGTGTTGGGGGAGAGTGTGGTGGGGTAGCCGGGTGGAGCTCATACATGCAAGGGATGTGGTCTTCCACTTGAACCACACCCCTTCCACTTGCCATGAAGTTTTAATGGCTTCCCCTACCTACCAAACTATATAAAACTAAAAGACTTTTTTTTTTCTGGACCACACCCAGTGGTGCTCAGGGCTTATTCCTGGCTCTGTACGCAGCGATCACTCCTGGTGGGCTTGGGGAACCGTATGGGGTGATGGGGACTGAACCCAGGTCAATGCAAGGCAAGTGCCCTCCACATTGTACTATTGCTCACGCCCCTATAAAAACTCTTTAATTGAAACTTAAAATGGATAATACTTCTCAAACAAACTTTTTTTTTTTTGTATTTTAGGCCATCCAACCGACAATGCTCAGGGATTATTCCTGGGTCTGACTCAGGAATTTGCACCTGGTAGTGACCAGACTATATGTGATGCCAGGGATCGAACATAGATCAGCCATGTCCAAGGAAAATGCCTGGCCCACTGTACTATGGATCCAGCCCATCCAACAAACTTTTCTAGCTGTTTCATTACTATATGTCATAAGTTCCAGGCAAAATGAGGACATTATTTCCTTGTTACACTCTGCCCATTCATTGCATTTTCTTTTCCCATTCCTTGATTTTCCTTTTTCCTTAAATGTCTTCTCCTCTAAAAATTTGTGGAAAATCTGGCTCTTTTTTACTAAGACAAACACAGGTTGGCCTCTTGCAAAGCAAGTGTCTTACCCATTGTACTACTTCTCCAATCCCTCTCTAAAGTTCCCATTTGTTACAGAATAAGTATATTCTATTTTTAATCCTTTAAAAGTAATTTGAAGACAGAGTTTTCACTTTAACAGATTTTACTCAGTATTTTCCTTAGCTGTTATTTGATACTCAGTTTCAATCTGTTTATTCATTGAAAAATTTATCATGAGGGGCTGCAGAGATAGCACAGTGGGTAGGGCGTTTGCCTTGCACATGGTCAACTCAGGTTCAAATCCCAGCATCCCATATGGTCACCTGAGCACTGCCAGGAGTAATTCCTGAGTGGACGAGCCAGGAATAACCCCTGTGCATCGCTGGGTGTGACCCAAAAAGCAAAAAAAAAAAATTTATCATGAGCTGAATAATAGAATAGGGAATTAAAATTAATTACAACTCTGAGTATCTCTGGCTTTATTAACACTGCACAAAAAATGTCAAAAAATTTTTGCTGAATTTACTTAACTGGCTAAACTGCCAGTTGATGACTTGCAATAATTTTTAAAGCCAATTTAAATGAAATAATTAAATTACCCAAAATACTCCTTTAAAATAATCTGATGTCTTTTTTTCTTGTTATATTTAGCAGCAATATGAACATATTATTATTTGTTGATTATTTTGTGTTTCTTTATTTCCATTGTGGATATATTTTCATTTTCTCAAACTTAGCACAATGCCTGGCACATAAGCAAGCAATAATTTTATTAAATATTCAGAAACCTAAAAAGAATCCAAGTAGGTATTCTCTTTTGTTAAAGACAATACCTGAAAAGTCAATTTAACGAAATGTTAAGAAATTCATTTAATGGATTAGAAGAAATCATCAACTGACCACTATGTCTAATTTTCCCTGTTGAATCCAATGTACTGGTCTATAAATGATATAAAAGCTAATATGTCAACAAAAAGAAAAAGCATTGAAGAAGAGAAAACAGAACTATGAAAAATGTGTTCTAGAAGGAATGGTCAATGAAGTAACTGAACCCAGATGATTTTAAACAAATGTATATTGATTATACTTTTCAATGTCTGTTTAATGATCCACAATCTAGCAAAAATATAATGTGTGGAGAGGTAACAAAAAACTGATAATATGAAGTTCCTTGAGAAGTCAGTTAATTAACTACTTAAGTAATTCAACTATCCTGAACTATTCTGACTAAAGTTCTGATAGCTTGTTATGTAAGAACAACACTGATTTTGTACTCTTCTTATATAACAAATCTGATTTTGTTCATCATTGGGTGATGGAAACTGCATCATCCATAAAGAAAATCAAATCATCAAAATATTACCATATATTTAAATTATGTTTCAGCAGAACTCTTAATCAAAGAAATAAGGAATTTAAGGAAGTTATCTAAAAATCTGTTCCACTAAATTTAAAAATTCTTTTGCATCTATTCTATGTTATATAAAATATTGGGCACTAGAAACACAGAGAACAAATCACAATTATCCACATTCATATAATCTCATTGGAGAAGTCAGACACATGATGACATTAAGTACATTTTCTTTAAAGTGGGTCATGCAGTGAGACTTTTCATATAATGACAGTTTTGAAGGCAAAGACCATAATTTGTGGTTCCTCTTGGTTATCAAATAAACTCCTATATTTTAATGAATACTACTATATTTCATTATTCTACTAAAAATACGATAAATTATTCTAGTAATTATACCAATGAAAAATCTGTAACTCATTTCTCCCCCATATAAACATTAGTTGTATTTCCAGTGTGTCATGTTGCTGAATTCAAACCAGAGTGTTTCTGAATAAGTATTTTGATCCATATTTTATCCCTTTTGCTTGGAATGCCTCTCAACAAATTTACAGAAAAAGTCTATATACATGAAGTCCTAAAAGATTTCATGTAAGATTTTTCATTTCTCAAAGCATACTCTAACATGTCCAGTAATTACTTTTGCTTTTGTCTTTAATTCCCCTGAGTTACTTTAAGGTATCAACCTATTTTCATTCCTCTTGTATGTCCCATAGAGTTTAGCATGCAGAATGTGCTGAGTAAATATATTCACTAAATTTCAACAATCCCATTAATAATCAATGGTGCTTTCAGGAAAAATACTACTTTCATTTTGTTTCTAAAACAAAAAAAATCAAACAATGTTAGAGTAAATTAATTTTATTTACTGATGAAAAACTATAGTGATAAGATGTATGAACAGTAAACAATAAACACTGAGTTCTGCTGGAATTCTAATTTTCTTTTCACTTTACACCAAAAGGACATAAAATTATTGTCTGTTAGTGAGCTTATTGTTTTAAGTTTTTTGAACAAAAAATGCAGTCTAGCAGTTGCAAAGCATTAAATATATACATTTTTTAAAAAACCCTGAAAGTTTTGATTTTTGTACTGAGCTCAAAGGCTAATGTGATCACCTACATTGGTCAGATTCAGAGTTCCGTTTCCCTTTTCTGCCACCCTGTAAAGAAAAATAAGGCAAATTATTCATGAAGTACCATCTTGGGTACTCTCATTTTAATAATGAAATTTTAATTTCACTTTAATTATTCATTTTAATAATACATGAGCACAAAAAATTTTGCTTGTGAGAAGGAAGCAACGACTAAGCCTACTGAAAATCTGTATATGATTAAGGTCTGAGGCAATCTGCATATCACTAATTTGCTTTAAAATATCTATTTTCACAAATAGCTAGAGCAGGTTTTAGAAAATTTCTATTATAAATAGTCTATATTTAATAATATCATCATTTTTTTAACAGCTCATTTGTACTGACCAATATACATGTTTTGGGGGAGCCACTGACAACAGTGCTCAGGGCTACTCCCAGCTCTGTGCTCCAAGGTTGCTCCTCGAAATCCTTGGAGAATTATGCAGTGCTTGGGCTATAGCCCAGGCCTCCAAAAGCAGGCACCATGCCTACTGAGCTATCCATGCAACCCCATCAAGATTTGTTGAGGTTTTGGCTTTTGGCCTATACTTCGCAGTGGCTCTGTATTCAGGGATCAATCTTGGTGGATCTCAGTGGTTGAACCCAGGTTATCCACATATAAAGGCAAGTGCATTAAACCCTGGACAATCCAGCCTCACATTACTTTATTTTTGGATTACATCTGATGGTATACAGGGCTTACTCCTGGTTCTATGTTCAGGGGTCATTCCTGGTGGGTTCTGGGTATAAAGCTGGAGTTAGCCGCATGCCAAGGAAAGCACATTACCCTTCTACTATCTCTGAACTCCACAAGACTTTAGAAATTAAAAAATAATTTAGGCACTGATTTACAAAACTGCTAATGGTAGGGTTTCATGCACAAAATATAGCACAACATCCTCCACCAGGAAGCATGCTTCCCTTCACCATTGTCCCAAGATATTTTTTAAACAAAATTGATCAATACTAATATTTAATTAGATCAATATGATCAATATTAATTAAGTACAGTGCCCTTTGGAATAATTCAATTTCTAATTCAAGTTCTGTCTAGCCTTATTCATATCAGAAAGCATTAGAAATCTACAGTTAAAAATTAAAAATGTATAATTTAAAAATAAATTTAAGTTATATTTAAATTACTAATTATAATTATAATTATAAATGTACAATTAAAGTGTAGCTTTTACATCAAATAAGTCACATTTTTAAATCTTAGTTTTTACAGTTTTGTACAACAGTGGGTTGAAAGTAGGTTAAACTTTTAGTTTTGCTAGTGAGATATTTATTTTAATTTATCCCAGATATACCAATTATGGTATTTCAGTCAAAGAAAAAGGTAGTTAAAATAAAAGACATATTTTAGATTATCTATTACATTTTCTGTCATATTCTGATTCATGAGCAAATACTTTCTTTGAATTAATATTGAAAGTATAGATACTTTTAAAAGTATAAAGAAAAGTACAGAGAAAATATTATGTATAGCTACTTATTACTATACCCTTCCTTTTAAACATAAAAATGTCTTTCTGTATTTTCCTAATGTTAGTAAAATTTTTCTCTATAAACTAGGTAATGGCACTCAGACTTAGTTGACTTTGATATTTGAATCAACTAAGAACTAATATTTCAAAATATTTTCAAAAATATTTCAAAAAAATGTAAAATTTGTACCAAAGCTCTTTATAATTACCAGAAGTGGGTCAAACAATCAATTTTAACAAACAAAAATTCTGGTGATCAGCAAAAGTTTGAAACTGCTTGTCTGTGGGAGTGCCAATTTTTATACCAGAGCTTGCTTAATGATGGCCTACTCAACAACGTGACAGCTTCTTCTGATCATTTTGCTGCATTTAGCTTCCCTCTGGCTCTACAAAACATTTCTACATCAGTCACCTTTAGAAAGTACCAAACGCAAGTGCTTACCTTGCATGTGGCTGGCCTAGGTTCAATCCCTGGCACCTCATATGGTGCCCCTGAGCACACCAAGACTAACCTGGGTATGACCCAACCTCTCCACCCCAATATCAAATACAAGAAAGTTATAACTCCCAATCATAGAAATCGCATTTGCAAAAATCCACATAAAAAAGCATGAGTGAACTGAGATGTTTAATGACATGTATTTAGTATAGGAGTTCGGAGTGCAGGAAAATTAAATTGATGAAAAGTTTTCTACCAAGTATGCTACACATAGGTCCCTGATATACAACTTATATATCTTCCCTTGTTTTTCAATAAGATTTTACAAGTACACTGAAAGGATCCTTTTCAAAGCCTCCCAGGCAAAGGGAATTCTCCCAGGACTGATGAGCTGCAAGTGCTTTTCACTTAATGTATTTTAATGTACCATGACTTAGATAAATTTACATTCATAAATATAAATATACATCTCTATGTACATAGTATAAATGAGAGTAGCATGAAATTTTCTGAATTACTCCAATAGCTGATTAAGGTAATAACTAGTTATAACCTTAATATTTTTCTAAAATGTAAATGATATAACCAGTAACAGCAAACATGTTTAATAAAATGCATGATCACTAAATTGTGGTTTTAGAATAAGTGCATTTACTCTATTTAGAGAGTATATACTCCAAGTGTATTATTAAAGATAAAAGCACTTTAAAATTACAAAAGGGGCTGGAGCAATAATACAGCAGGTAGGGTATTTGCCTTGCATGCAGCCAACCTAAGTTAAATCTCTGGCATTCCACATGGTCCCCTGGGCCCACCAGTGTGATGTCTGTGCGCAGAGCCAGGAGGAAGGGCCATATCTGAGTACTGCTGGATATGGCCCTTCATCTCACAAAACAAACCAAACTGATAAAAGCATACCTGGTATTTTGCTAATTCTGCTTGTAACACTTTCACTTTAGATCTTTCTTGTTCTAATGCAGCATGAAGTGAAGTCACCTATAACCAAAGAGTCATTGAAAAAGATGTTAAAAGACAACAAAAACTCTTTTTTGGCCAAAAAAAAATTTATTTTGAAGTGCTGAGGACTGAATTCAGAACCTAACAAATGCAGGGCAAGCGTCTATCACTGAGCAACACCCCTAGTCTGTAATGCTTGACTACTAGAGAGAGATCAGCCTCATACAAAAAAAATCTCCTGTGTTTTCAGTTAAAATAAACATCTTCAGCAGTCTGATAAAGGTAGGACAAATTCATTGACTTAAGACAAAAACAAAAGGATGGGAGAGAAGAGAAGATTAAGTCAATAATAAGTGTAAAACATAAGTTCTGCATACTTTTTCTATTTCTATATTCAAAAAGTAACTACAAACTTCATATAAATTTATTCAAATAAACTTTATAATAAATAAAATATAATTTTACCTTTTCCCACTTATCAGGACATACTTCCCTTCCTTAGACATTAAATACAATTTTCATTCACTAGCTATGATATAATCATTAAGCATTATCAATTTATATTACTTTCTTAAAATAGTGATGGGATGTAGTTTTGTGTAACCAAGTTTCATAATTTAGGACTACAGATTAGATTAAGAAATCAATTCAGTATGTTCAAGTTTTCCTTACCTGTATAGTTAGTTCATTCTTGATACTTTGTGATTCATCAACTTGCAGAAGTATTTCTGCTTTATCTTTCACTGACAAAAAAAAGAAAAAACATCACTTTTTCATTCGAATTCCTTAACAATACTTTTAATAAACCAAGATGGTACTCAACAATGCCCTCCTATTAAATGCCCTCCAATTAAAATGATCAATTACCCTCCTATTACAATGCATTTACTGATCTTAGTTTTCGCTCCTAAATTCTGGTCGTTATATTAACAGGGCAGCTTACTTGAAAAATTTACATTTTGTATGTTAAGATAATATTAACTACATATCATGATGAAATTTTTCCCCCCATTTTCACTAAACAACACAAGGACACAAGAAAAAAAAATTTTAAGTCACGTAAGAAAATACTTTAAATACCTTGACCAGCTTTTAAAACAACCTAGAGAAGTGTGTCCCGCGCCTGGTGCTCGCAACCCTTCCCTGGCGCCACGTCCCCCTACCACCGGGCAGCCAGAGGAAACCTTGGGGAACACCTGCCCTGAGTTCGGCTGGACCGCCTGCATACCTCTTCACAGTGCCGCCCTCCTCTACAGGTTCCTGGGTTTGCACATCCCTGGGACTGGCTGGGGGTGTAGCCTCCACTGTAGGGGGCATGGCCTCCTCAAAAGTGGGCGTGGCCTTCTCTGAGGCAGGAGGCACCTCATGCCCCCAGTTATATTTCCCACTCCCAGCTCTCTCAACTCACATCCCAGCCTTTATCACCTACTTCTGTGGAAAATGTCCTGGCCACTTCAACCACAATACTACAATAATCCACTGGCCTACTCCAATCTCAACAAAAGACCGGTACGCAAAGAAGCTGTACAAGTCCAGTATAAAAAAGCACCTCCACCAACGCTTCACTAGATGCCTGTCATAAGCCACAGAATAATGCCTGAGAGGAAGCACATATTCTAGATTGGGAGAAGGGTGACCATCATCGACGGACCTTATTCAGAATCCTTTCCAGCAATAAGAGGGAACAGTGCTAGAGAATTCCAAGGTTTTACCTCTAGACAACCAGAACAACATGGGGAAACAGCACAAATCTCCACAATGAGAGGACAAAGAAAAGAGTTCCAAATCCTCAACTGGGGTTACCCACAAATATGTTCTCTCCAGTGAAGAATTTGGAGATGAAATGCTGAGAATGTTCAAGGAACTACTCAAAGAATCAATGGAGCAGACATCCAGAAAACTAAAGGAAGAAATAAAACAGTGGGATGGACAGTCGAGAAAATACAGGAAAAAATGAGAGCAGAAATAAAAAAGCTACAAAAAGAAGTGTCACAAATAAAGGATTCGGTAGATGAAATTAAAAACTCAGTGGGTGCCCTCAGCAGTAGAATGTCTACAGCTGCAGAAAGGATCAGTGAGCTTGAAGATGAGCAACAGAAATCAAATAGGGAACAACAAACAATGTGAAAAGACCTCAGAATAGCTCTAAGGCGAATCAGAGACCTAGGGGATGACACCAAGAGGAATAACATTAGAATCATTGGAGTACCAGAAGGACAGGTAGGCAAGCCCAATGAAAAAGGCACAGTGAAAGAAATCATAGCTGAAAAGTTCCCAGAGTTAAAGAATGCAGACATACAGATCCAAGGAGCCAGAAGGGTGCCAGCTAAAAGAGACCCAAATAAAACACTCCAAGGCATATCATAGTCAGAATGATGGAAGCCACGGATAGAGACACAATACTGCAAGCAGCAAGGTCAAAGAAGGAAATCACATACAAAGGAGCACCCCTTAGATTTATGGCACACCTATCAGAGGAAACCCTCCAAGCCCGAAGACAATGGTGGGATATAGCGAAGAAACTCAATGAAATGAACGCCTCGCCAAGAATACTTTATCCAGCTAAACTCTCACTCAAACTCGATGGAACAATACACCATTTTATAGATAAACAACAGCTCAGGACTTCATAGACTTAAAACCAAACCAAAAAAATGGATTAAAAGGGGCTCCTGTAAGATAAGAAGGAAAACACTTATAAGCACAACCAACCCCTAAAGAAAGATGACCAGACCAATGGAACAGGGTTGAATATCCTTACACACACCCTAAATTTATGATCATCTAATCTTTGATAAGGGAACAAGAAATGTGAAGCGGAACAAGGAAAGGCTCTTCAACAAATGGTGCTGGCATAACTGGACAACCACATGCAAAAAAATGGGCTTAGACCTCGACCTAACACCATGCACAAAAATCAGATCAAAATGAATTAAAGATTTCAACATCAGGCCAAAATCCATAAGGTACATTGAAGACAAGGTCGGCAAAACCCTCCACAATATTGAGGCTAATGGTATCTTCAAAAAAGACAGTCCACTGACCAACCAAGTGGAAACAGAGATAAACAAATGGGACTATCTTAAAATAAGATGCTTATGCACCTCAAAAGTTATAGTGACCAGAATACAAAGACAATCTACAGAATGGGAAAGGATATTCACTTAATACTCATCCGATAAGGGGTTGATATCAAGGATACACAAAGCACTGGTTGAACTCCATAAGAAGAAAACATCCAACCCCATCAAAAACTGGGGTGATGAAATGAACAGAAACTTTCTCGAAGAAGAAATCCGAATGGCTAAAAGGCACATGAGAAAATGCACTACATGAATAATCATCAGGGCGATGCAGATCAAAACAACAATGAAATATTATCTCACACCACAGAGACTAGCCCGCATCCAAAAGAACAGCAGCAACCAGTGCTGGTGCGGATGTGGCGAGAAAGGGACTCTTGTTCACTGCTGGTGGGAATGCCAACTGGTTCAACCCTTTTGGAAAACTGTATAGATGATTCTCAAAAAATTAGAAATTGAGCTCCCACTTGATCCAGCAATACTACTCCTGGGAATATATCCCGGAGAGGCAAAAAAGTATAGTCAAAATGACATCTACACTTCTATGTTCATTGCTGCACTATTCACAATAGCCAAAATCTGGAAAAAACCTGAGTGCCCAAGAACAGATGACTGGTTAAAGAAACTTTGGTGTTGAACTCCACAAGAAGAAAACATCCAACCCCATCCAAAAATGGGGCAATGAAATGAACAGAAACTTTCTCAAAGAAGAAATCCAAATGGCAAAAAAGCACATGAGAAAATGCTCTACATCATTAATCATCAGGGAGATGCAGATCAAAACCACAATGAGATACCATCTCACACCTCAGAGACTGGCCCACATTCAAAAGAACAAAAGCAACCGTTGCTGGGATGCTGTCGCGAATGTGGCGAGAAAGGGACACTCCTTCACTGTTGGTGGGAATGCCGACTGGTTCAGCCCTTTTGGAAAACAGTATGGACGTTCCTCAAAAAATTAGAAATTGAGCTCCCATTTGACCCAGCGATACCACTCCTGGGAATATATCCCAGAGAGGCAAAAATGTGTAGCTGAAGTGACATCTGCACTTGTTTGTTCATTGCAGCACTCTTTACAGTAGCCAGAAACTGGAAGAGACCTGAGTGCCCAAGAACAGATGACTGGTTAAAGAAACTTTGGTACATCTACACAATGGAGTACTATGTAGCTCTTAGAAAAGATGAAGTCATGAACTTTACATACAAGTGGTACAATATGGAAAGTATCATGCTAAGCGAAATGAGTCAGAAAGAGAGGGATAGATAGACATAGAAAGATTGCATTCATCTGGGGGATATAAAGTAACAAAATATGAGATTAATACCCAAGAATAGCTGAGATCAGCACCAGGAGCATTACTCCATAACTTAGAGGCCAGCTGAGTATCCTAGAGGAAAGGGCAGTTTAGATAGAGAAGGGAGCACCAAATGGAGGGTGTTTGGAGGATCCTCCCAGGAGGGGAGATGCATGTCGAAAGTAGACTATGGACTGAACATGTTTGCCACTCAATGCCTCTTTTGCAGACCACAACACCCAAAAGGAGAGAGAGAACACAGGGAACTGCTCTGCCACAGAGGCAGGGGGGATGGGGGGATGGGGGTGGGGGGATATTATCCATGGTGGTGGAAAATGGGCACTGGTGGAGGGATGGGTATCTGATCATTGTATAATCGAAACCCAAGCACAAAAAATTCTAAATCTACAACTGTACCTCATGGTGTTTCACTAATAAAAAAAAATTCTAAAAAAAAAAAAAAGAAACTTTGGTATAACTACACAATGGAGTACTATGCAGCTGTTAAAAAAGATGAAGTCATGAAATTTACATACAAGTGGTACTACATGGAAAGTATCATGCTATGTGAAATGAGTCAGAAAGAGAGGGACAGACATAGAAAGATTGCATTCATCTGGGGAATATAAAGTAACAAAATATGAAACTAACACCCAAGCATAGTTGAGATAAGTACCAGGAGGTTCATTGCACGGCTTGGAAGCCAGCCGCACATACTGGGGGAAAAGGCAGCTCAGATAGAGAAGGGAACACCAAGTAAAGGGAGTTGGGAGGATTCGCCTAGGATGGGAGATGCATGCTGAAAGCAGACTACAGACCGAACATGATTGCCACTCAATGCCTCTTTTGCAAACCACCACACCCAAAAGGAGAGAGAGAATAAAAGGGAATGCCCCACCACAGAGGCAGGGTGAAATAAGGGGATGGGGGGTAAGAGGGATACTGGGATCACTGGTGGTTGAGAATGGGCACTGGTGGAGGGATGGGTACTCGATCACTGTATAACTGAAACCCAAGCACAAAAATCTGTAAGTCTACAACTGTACTTCATGGTGCTTCACTAATAAAAATTTTAAAATAATAAAATAAAATAAAAATAAAAATAAGAACACAGAGGGAAGCAGCAGAGAGCACTGCAGCCAGGCTTGTCCCTGGCACCATCAAGGCTTCCTAACAAGCACTGGTGGGCCACCACCAACCCACTGGGCACTGCAGCTATAATTATGCCCCAGCACAGCGCCAGGGGTCAATATCAAAAGGAGTGATTCCAGGGGCCACTGGACACCAGTTGGGAGGCCCCACATATACACACAAATAAGTCAAACCAGTATAGAGTGGTTTTGTTTTGCTTCATTAAAATTGCTGGTACAGTATAAGACCCACTAAATTATTTTTATACTAGGGCGTTTGCCTTGCACGCAGCCAACATGGCCGACCCGAGTTCGATTCCTCCGCCCCTCTCGGAGAGCCCGGCAAGTTACCGAGAGTATCTCGCCCGCACGGCAGAGCCTGGCAAGCTCCCCGTGATGTATTCGATATGCCAAACACAGTAACAACAAAAGTCTCCAATGCAGACATTACTGGGCCCCCTCAAGCAAATCGATGAACAACGGGAGGACAGTGACAGTGACTAGCATTGTAGCACTGTCCTCCTGTTGCTCATCGATTTGCTGGAGGGGGAACCAGTAACATCTCCATTGTGAGACTTGTTGTTACTGTTTTTGGCATATCGAATACACCACGGGGAACTTGTCAGGCTCTCCCATGCAGGTGGGATACTCCCAGTAGCTTGCGGGGCTCTCCAAGAGGGAAGGAGGAATCGAACCTGGGTCAGCTGCATGCAAGACAAACGCCCTACTCACTGTGCTATCTCTCCAGTCCATTTTTTAATACTAATTATACTAATTCATCCTAATAGAGCAGTGTCAAAAAATGTGTATCATATGATCATAATTGACCAGATAGTAAGTACAGTCTCTTAGAATTATTAGAAATATTCATTTATCAAGATGTTTTTCTCTGCTTGTTAGAAGCAAGAGATCTATGTTTTGGTCCTTGTTTCCTTGAAAAATCTTCACACAGCTGACAACTTCCTTAACGCACAGTAATGGCTAATAAATAATATTCCTCAACTTTGAAAAGAGAGTAAGTGAAGAGGTGAAACATTAATAAAACACTAAATTAGCAAAGAGGAAATACTGAATTACATAAGATACCACTAGAATACTATCACTCATTCTAATTTGATTTTATTTTTGTTATGTTATGCCATAAGGTGAAAACACAGTATAATGAAATAAATCCCAGTCTTTCCACAATTTGGAACTGATACAAATTATACTTTCTATTTTTTAACCCCCCCCCAAATTACACACTCACTGATAACTAGTGATTTTTTTTTAAAATTTATTTATTTATTTATTTTTTTACAGTTGTAGATTTACAATTTTTTTTGTGCTTGGGTTTCAATTATACAATGATCAGATACCCATCCCTCCACCAGTGCCCGTTTTTCACCACCATGGATAATATCCCTCCCACCCCCATCCCCCCATCCCCCCCTGCCTCTGTGGCAGGACAATCCCCTGTGTTCTCTCTCTTCGTTTGGGTGTTGTGGTCTGCAAAAGAGGCATTGAGTGGCAAACATGTTCAGTCCATAGTCTACTTTCGACATGCATCTCTCCTCCTGGGAGGATCCTCCAAACATCCTTTATTTGGTGCTCCCTTCTCTATCTGAACTGCCCTTTCCTCTAGGATACCCGGCTGGCCTCTAAGTTATGGAGTAATCCTCCTGGTGCTGATCTCAGCTATTCTTGGGTATTAATCTCATACTTTGTTACTTTATATCCCCCAGATGAATGCAATCTTTCTATGTCTATCCCTCTCTTTCTGACTCATTTCGCTTAGCATGATACTTTCCATATTGTACCACTTGTATGTAAATTTCATGACTTCATCTTTTCTAAGAGCTACATAGTACTCCATTGTGTAGATGTACCAAAGTTTCTTTAACCAGTCATCTGTTCTTGGGCATTCAGGTTTCTTCCAGTTTCTGGCTATTGTAAAGAGTGCTGCAATGAACAAACAAGTGCAGATGTCACTTCGACTATACATTTTTGCTTCTCTGGGATATATTCCCAGGAGTGGTATTGCTGGGTCAAATGGGAGCTCAATTTCTAATTTTTTGAGAATCGTCCATACTGTTGTCCAGAAGGGCTGAACCAGTGGACATTCCCACCAACAGTGAAGGAGTGTCCCTTTCTCGCCACATCCACGCCAGCATTGGTTGCTTTTGTTCTTTTGAATGTGGGCCAGTCTCTGAGGTGTGAGATGGTATCTCATTGTGGTTTTGATCTGCATCTCTCTGATGATTAATGATGTAGAGCATTTTCTCATGTGTTTTTTTGCCATTCGGATTTCTTCTTTGAGAAAGTTTCTGTTCATTTCATTGCCCCATTTTTGGATGGGATTGGATGTTTTCTTCTTGTGGAGTTTAACCAGTATTTTGTATATCCTGGATATCAACCCCTTGTCAGATGTGTATTCGGCGAATATCCTTTCCCATTCTGTAGACTGTCTTTGTATTTTGGTCACTGTTTCTTTGGAGGTGCAGAAGCTTCTTTAACTAGTGATTTTTAATGAGTATGTTGAAAATAACATATAGTCAGTTCTACCTACTTGTTTTGAAACAATTTGTTTCAACATGACTGATTTATTAGGAAACAACTGGAAGACACAGCAACAGCATTTACCTAAGCACAATTTCCTAACACAAAAAACTGCATTTGCCCACACATATCCACTGTTTAGCTCCATTCACTGCATGTTAAGAACCACACACACTTTAGACCCTTTCATAATTAGTACCCTTCCAGTACTCTACAGGCAAACTTCAGGTTCAAGATAAAGTTCCACATTTACAGTATTTGTTTAATTGTCAGTACATTTATTTTAGTATATTATGAGCAATTTTCTTGTAATGGACCTATACGAAATTCTTTAACTTGGATTATAAAAGTATGGTATACGAACACTGATGTTATTTACTGGTAGCTACTCAATCATTTTTTTTAAAGAAATAAAAAAGCTTTTATCAGTTAACATTCTCACTTTTCACAAGTTGCCTTGGTGAATATTACTTTTACATATTTTAAAACTAATGAGTCTAATTTCTTCAATTCAACATATCTTGTAAATAACCATTTCACTTTCATAATTTTATTCATTAAATGATCCACATGTTGCTTAATGACACTACAAATCTAAATTAAACCCAGAGGCTGAAGAGACAGTACAGGGATAGGACTCTTAACTTGCATGCTGCCAACCTGGGTTTGTTCCCTGGGACCCCATATGGTCCCCCCAAGTCCCTCCAGGAGTGATCTCTGAGCAGAGGCAGAAGCAGCACTGAGCACCACTGGGTATGGCGCCAAAATGAACAAATAAAAATTGGTCTCAGAATGTCGATATGTAATTTTCAAGAAACCACCTTTCCCTGGGATTGCAAAAAGAGCAGAAAATAGAAACCTTGCACCACAAGGTAGTGATTTTATATATCTATATATATATAGATATAGATATATATATATACACACACACATATATAGCACAGCGGGTAGGGCGTTTGCCTTGCACGCGGCCAACATGGCCGACCCGAGTTCGATTCCTCCGCCCCTCTCGGAGAGCCCGGCAAGCTACCGAGAGTATTCGATATGCCAGACACAGTAACAACAAAGTCTCCAATGGAGACGTTACTGGGCCCGCTCGAGCAAATCGACGATCAACGGGAGGGCCTTTACCTTTTTTACCTTATTATACACATAATATAACACCACATTCTCAGATCAGATCCTAGCACTGAACCATTAACCAGTTGTCCAAATATTGCCAGGACTGGACCCTGAAACCTGTGAACACCTTCCACAAAAAACAACAACAAAAAAATCCCATTATTCTTCAATTTCTATTTCGCCATAGTTAAGGTGTAAAGCAGCTGTTATAGTACAAAAATAGTACAGTTACCAAAAAAAAAAAAAAGAACTACTTCAGGGCTGTATTGTTCAGCTGGACATGTTTTCTGGACCTTACTCACATTCTTATAATACCTACAATTGAAATTTTAATTGAACAGTCCATGTGCAGTAATGTGCCTACATGAAACCTTTTGCTTTTGTTTTTTTGGGGGGGCCACACCCACCAGTTGCTCAGGGCTTATCCTGGAACTGTCCTCAGGAGTCATTTCTGGTGGTGATTAGGGGATTAAGGTAGCAGTGATCACAGCAGTGGGGCCAGATGTATGCAAGGTAACACCTATTTTAGTTCTCTAGTCTCTTGAAATCATTTTTGATGGTCACACTTATTGAATTTTCAAGCTGCGTGTCATAAATTTTTAACACTCACAGAAACTATAGTTGGGATTTTCCTGAACATTAACATTGAACTTTATACTTAATTTTGTATGTTAAGATTTTTCATTTGTTCCTTTTTCTGTGTTGCTTATAATTTATAATTTACTTTGTATAATCTTTGTATTAAAATAAATCCTTTTATGAGTCGAAAAATTTTACATATCATCTGTGAATATGTATCAGTTATACATATTCAGAAATGCAAATGATGTGTTATATAACATCGACATTACTGCTCTTACAATTTTTAGCTGACTTCCTTGGCTTCTTGCTGGTAACCTGCCAAAATTTTAGAGTGGTAACAAAAGCATGAAGAGGGCAGGAGAGAGAAGATAAATCTAAAATCATGATATACTTTTTTTAAATTAAAAAAAAATTGGGGGGATTTTTTGAGGGGTGGAGGTTGGGCCACACTCAGTGGTCCTCAGGGCTTACTCCTGGCTCTGTGCTCAGGGGTCACTTCTGGAAGGCCCAGGGAACCATACAGGATGCCAGGGATCAAATCCGGGTTGTCTGCATGCATGGCAAACACCCTACCCACCCTACCCACTATCTCTCTGACACCTGACCTCTAAAATAAAAAACATGATTGAGAAATGCTATGTTATTATTTCCCAGTAAACATAGACAAATAATTCACAATAACTGAAGTTTTAAAAGTTTCTCTTAGCTGAACAGTTAGTCAAGTACAATTATCAACAATTCAGTTAGTATCACTTTAAGAACCTTTTTATTCTATTGAGTTGAGAAATCACTTACCTTAAAAAGTTATTGTCAAATACTTTTATATTAACTTTTAATTCTAAAAACATGCAAATCACTTACTTTCACCTTCCTGAAGCATTTTCAATAATTGGGCATTTCTTGCTTTTACTTCTTTATACTTTGCCTAATAATCAAAGAAAAAAATTTAATTTTTTAACTTTTGGAACTATGAATTCTTTTTAAAGACTTTTTTTGGTTGTTGTTGTGTAGTGGTGGTGGTGGTTTGGGCCACATCAGCAATGCTCAGGGCCTGCTCCTGGCAGTGCTCAGGGAGCCATAGGGATGCTGGGGATTGAATCTGGGTCAGTCACATACAAGCAAATGCCCTGCCCACTGTGCTCTCTCTCCATTCCTGGAACTATGAATTCTTCATAGCTCAAAAATATATATTACTTTTGAGAGAAACAAGATTTAAAAAATATATTCACAACTGCTGCTATTTCAATTCCTGGCACAAGAGCAATTAATATTATAGGTAATTAAAAAAATACAGAAGAGAAGGATAAAAGTGCAGAAAATTTAAGACTGTGCTCTTTTTTCCTAGAGTCTTTTTCATTTTTTCCTCAAATAAAGATTCCTATATATCTCAATTAAATCAAAACAAAAATTTTTTTTTTACAAAAATAATTCTTTAGAAAGAAAGCTCTAATTCTGATACTATTTTAGAACTTTCTATACCTGTCCTTGTCCACTATGTGGCATGAGTGACTAACAAATAAAATTTTAACATTATTTAAGTTTAAATTTAGGTACACATATAAGGGTTGAATTTTACAACAGTTCTGTATCTCCTCAATTATCACTTTAAAATCTCATTTCATTAAATTCTAGTTTTTTGGTAGGCATAAATAATCTATCAAAATATTTGGAAATTTTTTTCAATTTCTATTTCAAATAACGTATTTCTCTCACCACACAAATGACAAAATTATATACCTAAGGACAAAAGAAAATGTATTCTCACATTTACATCCATAGTCCAGATATTTTCCTCTACTCTCTTCCTTATGCATCATATGATACACTGAATTATTTATAAGTATTTAATACTTTAATGAGAGAACACATTGAATGACTGTGTGAATGAATAAGAGCAAACAAGATCAGAAAAAGAAAACAGAACAGTAAGAAATCTCTGTTTCTCAACATTTTCTTCTGGAAACACGTATCGATACATACACAAATGGTGAGAAATAAAAAATTTCTTGTAAAAAATTTTAACAAGAAAAGTGAATTTAAAAATTAACCATGGGGCTGGAGAGATAGTACAGCAGATAGGGTGTTTGCCTTCCATGAGGCCAACTTGGGTTCGATCCCTGGCATCCCATATGGTCCCCCCAAGCACTGTCAGGAGTAATTCCTGAGAGCAGAGCCAGGAATAAGCCCTGAATATTGCCGGGTATGACCCAAAAAGCTAAAAAAAAATTTTTAACTTAATTTAGCATTCTTTTGCAAAAAGTATCATCCTATAGACTGTTGATAATATTGTTTACTGAGTAATATGCAGACATACAATGAACAGAAATAAGTACCTCAGTAAATAAAAAAGGGGTAGGACTTCTGTAAAGCTTAGAGTAAATGGAAATAATTCAGATGGAAATATTAAAATATGGAGGAAAAAACATACAACAATAATCATATTCAATTAGAATATAAAAAATATATCTACTGTGAAAATTCTGTCAACTCTGAAATTCTCACTTTCAGGCTTCAATTATCATCAACTTTCTAAACTTTATTTCTAACTCAAACTTTTGGTCTAAGGCTCAAATTAATGTATTAATATACCTAATGAGCCAACCTTCAGAATTCAAAGTCACTTCATAAAATAAAAGTTGCAAAGTACCCATGTAAACTCTTTATACTGTCACAAAAGTAACACACACCTTTGAAAATGAATTCTGAATAGCAAATGTCTATATAAAAACATAAATGTACAAAATACTAGTACTATGAATTTTATAATGAACACAGATGAAATAAAAGTATTCTAATTAAAAAGCATTTTTCGTTTCACAAAAAATACTTCGTGAACGTATGTAACAGTAAAAGGATGGGGGTTAGAGTTGTGGCTCAGTGGTAGAACATGACCTGTATGTGAGGCCCCGGGTTTGAGCTCTAGTGCTGCAAAATGGTAATAGTCAAAGGTGCTTACATCATGAATCCCCTATGTCCAGGTCTATGCCATGTATGCTAAATTTCTATGCTTTATTCAACATTTCAAATTCAAATATGTCCAAAAACACTAAGTTTGATCTATTGGTCTGTATCCCCAAACCAATTCAAGCCAATTTAAAGAAGTGCTCTTTGTAATACTAAATTCTTGTGAATTATTTTATCAGACGCTTTCAATCCAGACCTCACTTTGTGCATTATTTTCCCACAAAACAATTCTTATGAAACTTCCCTTCTAAACACTTTACTGCTTCTTCTTTGTCTAAAATGCGAATGGCTTCAAATTCTGACCACATCTTCAATCTCACCTTCTACAATTTACCATTCCAATATTCACTACAACATGCAACAGTGTTATTTCCTACCTTTCCCATGTCTTCATAGGGGCTGTTTTCTGTATCAGAAAATATGTATTTTCTGTGAAATTTCTACCAGTTTTCTAATGCAGTAACTGATTCATTCCTATTTCTGCATTTCTGAAACAGTTAAATTTAAGTTGGCTTTGTACATTTCTATGTTTATTTTCCCTTCTGGACTACCAGATTCTTTGTATTCACTATGCCTGCCATACATCTGTAAGTACTTTTTTTATATATAAAAAAAAAGGAAAAAGAAAAAATTAAGGGAAGGAGGCAGGTGAGTACAGTCCAAAAAGGTCTTAGCAGAGATGATTTTTATCTTTAAGAGGTAATACTAGTTTAAGAGTTTAAATATTTATGTTTTATGGGTACAATGGTACCCCAGGATGATTCTTAAAGGCATACAGGCCTGAGCAGAGGAGGAAGAGAAGTATAATAACAAGTGAGGCTGAAACTTAATCTTTTTTCACCATTATATTATACGATCCATTATACAATCCATAACACTATTACCTGGTTTACTGCAGGCACTAAAAATATGATAAGCAAATAGGTATCAGTCAAAAAGATTTTTTTTTAAAAAAATTACTAGGATGGAAGGGAGGAAAGAAGTGAGTAATAGTTTCTAGTTCAAGTACACAAGTGAATAATAGCAACTAGCATTATGTGGAGAAAATGTTCAATCACTGTGTGTCACTGATAAGAACAGAAAGTAGTGAAGTGATATAAAAAAAGTTTGCTATCTCTTAAATAAATTAAACACAGAGGCACAAGGGCCTGAGGTCTGTGCTCTGATGCACCGGATCCTAGTTCAAACCCCACCCCACCCTCACCTCCACATGGCCAGCTAGCATTACTGGGTGTTGTCCAGTGCTTGAAGACCCCCAAGCACTGCCAGGGTGGTCCTGCTTATCCTTGGCATCCAGGCCAGAATGGCAAGTACATCCTGAGGTCCCCTAGAATTGAACCATGTGGCCTGGTTAGTCAAGAGTTGCCAGGAGTGGCCCTGGTGCCTGCAGTATCCCCATGAAAACTAAGCACCAACAACAGGAACTCAAGACATTGTTCAGCAATGTTCACAGCCCCACAGTGGGAAAAATACTAGCGGCCACTAATGAATGAACAAGCAAATGTGGAATATTCCTGAGCTATAAAAGTGTTAAAATAATGATACATGCTGAAGAATGGATGGACCCAGAAAGTATTATGAAGTGAAATAAAAGGTGAGCAAGGGAAATCTTGTACAGTTCTACCTTACATGAATTAACTAGAAGAAAATTAACAGAAATTATAGATTACTAGGGGCTGCAGGCAAGCCAAAACAGGCAGTTCTTAACAGGTACTGAATTTTTATTTGGGGAGCTGAAAAACAAAAATAGGCCATGGTCTGGAAATAGACCATGGTGACGACTACACAACATTGTGAAGGTATTTAATAATATAGACTTAAAAATGCTTAAAACTGGGGCTAGAGAAACAGAACAGTGGGTAAGGCATTTGCCTTGCGAGTGGCCGACCTGTGTTCGATCCACAGATTCCCACATGGCCCCCTGAGCACTGCCAGGAGTGATTCCTGAGTGTAGAGCCTGGAGTAACCTGAGTATTTCCAGGTACAGCCCCCAAACAAAAAGCAAATTTAAAAAAAGGTTAAAATGCAAAACTTAATTTATATAAATTTTACCATTAAAAGAATACATCTGACTGGGCTGGGAGAGATACTCAATGGATGCTTTGTATATGGGAGGTTCCAGTTCAATACTCAGCACCATATAGTCCTCTTTAAGCACCACTGGAGGCTCCCACAAAGCAGAGAGGCAGAAGGAACCACCAAGCTCCATCAAGGGTGGTCCTTCCAAAAACAAACAAAAGCTCAGAAAAATATATCTCATAATAAGTACGATCATTCAGATTTTATTCAGCTGAAAAACCTAAACAGAATATTATTTCTATCTATTAATTCCTAAATATCAGTCATATTTCCATATAAGAAAATGGAAAATACAGAAATTTATATAATTTAGTTCATAACAGTAAGCAAACACAAACCTCCCACTGAGTAATCACATTTTTCAGCTTTTGAATTTCAACATCTTTCCTTTCAAGTTCCAACTTTAATCTTTCAATTCTTCCATCTTTCAGAACAACTTCCTAAAGAGAAAAAAAACTATTTTAGAATTAATATGATTCCGGGCTGGGGCACTAGTACAGTGGGTAGGGCACTTGCCTTGCACAAGGCTGACCTGAGTTTGATCCCCCGAATCCCATCTGGTCCCCTAAACCTACCACGAGTGATTCCTGAGTGTAGAGCCAGGAGTAAGCCCTGAGCATCACCAGATGTGGTCCAAAAAAGAAAGCAAAGAATGATTCTGGGACCTGAGAGAGAGGGAGCAGGTGTTTGCTTTGCATGTGACCAACCCCAACACCCTGTATGGTCCCTGGAGCATTCCCAGGAGTGATTCCTGAGTGCAGGGTCAGGAGAAATCTCCAAGCACTGCCAGATGTGGCACAAAAACAAAATTTAAGAAAGAGCAAAATTCTGTCAATTCTGGCTTACAATAATGCTTTGTGAAAAGTTTAAGAGAAAAAAAATCCCAATTTCAATTTATTTTCCAAATCAACCTTAAACTATTGATTGCATTTCCAGTTCTATTGAGTAATCTAGTCATGATTATGTCCAGTATAAGAAAAAAATGCATAATTACAAATTCCAAACTATAAACACAATAGACAATATTAAGAACTTGAGATTAAGTATATATATTATATAAATTTATAATGCACCAATGGAAAAAAATACTAAACAAACATGTCTTAGCTGCTGGGTGTACAACAGTAAACAGAACTGAAAAAATTCTTGTTCTTCTGGAACTTGTCTGGAAACATGTTATATAAGGACATTAAAAACAGAGGTTTAATCAATGAAGAAAAGAAAAGAAAAGAAAAGTGCTATATTAGAAATATGTGGAGTATTCCCTTGTGGAACAGAGAAGTTCTTTCTGATATGGTAATGATACTTAGGTGATGGGTAGAAATTGACTAAGCCAAAAGGAGAGATCACAGCTTTCCACAGAGAAAGACACTACAATGGGAAAGAATCTGACTAGAGAATTTAAAAAGAATATTATCATGACCTCCACGTCTACTCGAATTGGAGTTGAGCATCTTCCTCCCAGATCCTCCAAATTCCAGTAGGCGGGGGTCACACCCACCACCTGGCCCCCTGGCGCCGTGTAATCCCATCAGCGGCCAAGACTCAGAGACTATAAAATCCAGATCCCGGACGAGAGCAGTGCAGTCTCTGCCCCCGCGCCTGGGTGTTCCTTCCCGGAGTCCCTTGGAGGGGAGCGGGTTGAGCTTTCCTCCCCGCCCCGACCATGGCTACGGCAGCCGAAGACCTCCAGGACCAGCCACCACCATGCTGAGACCACTCTCCGCACCCATGAAGGTACTGGCAGAGGGACACAGCCACGCGGGTTCCGGGGCCGAGACCTCCACGCCTACTCGAATTGGAGTCGAGCATCTTCCTCCCAGATCCTCCAAATTCCAGTAGGCGGGGGTCACACCCACCACCTGGCCCCCTGGCGCTGTGTAATCCCATCAGCGGCCAAGACTCAGAGACTATAAAATCCAGATCCCGGACGAGAGCAGTGCAGTCTCTGCCCCCGCGCCTGGGTGTTCCTTCCCGGAGTCCCTTGGAGGGGAGCGGGTTGAGCTTTCCTCCCCGCCCCGACCAGGGCTACGGCAGCCGAAGACCTCCAGGACCAGCCACCACCATGCTGAGACCACTCTCCGCACCCATGAAGGTACTGGCAGAGGGACACAGCCACGCGGGTTCCGGGGCCGAGACCTCCACGCCTACTCGAATTGGAGTCGAGCATCTTCCTCCCAGATCCTCCAAATTCCAGTAGGCGGGGGTCACACCCACCACCTGGCCCCCTGGCGCTGTGTAATCCCATCAGCGGCCAAGACTCAGAGACTATAAAATCCAGATCCCGGACGAGAGCAGTGCAGTCTCTGCCCCCGCGCCTGGGTGTTCCTTCCCGGAGTCCCTTGGAGGGGAGCGGGTTGAGCTTTCCTCCCCGCCCCGACCAGGGCTACGGCAGCCGAAGACCTCCAGGACCAGCCACCACCATGCTGAGACCACTCTCCGCACCCATGAAGGTACTGGCAGAGGGACACAGCCACGCGGGTTCCGGGGCCGAGACCTCCACGCCTACTCGAATTGGAGTCGAGCATCTTCCTCCCAGATCCTCCAAATTCCAGTAGGCGGGGGTCACACCCACCACCTGGCCCCCTGGCGCCGTGTAATCCCATCAGCGGCCAAGACTCAGAGACTATAAAATCCAGATCCCGGAACATCATATCAGGACATCTTTCTATGACATCTTATTATCTCATTCCTACTTTGGACAAACTTGCAGGCTATCGAATGTAGCCTGCCCACAGGGCAGAGTCTGGCAAACTCCCCGTGGCCTACCAAATATGCCAAATACCAGTAACAATGATGGGTCTCATTCTCCTAAAGAGCCGTGAATATAATCTCAGGGCTAGGATGAAAGAGACGTTACTGGGGCCTGCTCGAGGCAATCGACAATTAACAGGATGATGAAATGAAATGAAATGAAATTATCATGACAAGAGTTTAGCAGAGAGGAGACAGCACAAGACGAAATGAGTCAGAAAGAGAGGGATAGACATAGAAAGACTGCATTCATCTGGGGAACACAAAGTAACAAAATAGGAGACTAACACCCAAGAGTGGCCGAGATCAGTACCAGGAGGTTTGCTCCATGGCTTAGAGGCCAGCCACACATGCTAGGGGAAAAGGCAGCTCAGATAGAGAAGGGAGCACCAAATAAAGGGAGTTGGGGGGATCCTCCCAGGATGGGAGAAGCATGCTGAAAGTAGACTATAGACCAAACATGATTGCCACTCAATGCATCTCTTGCAGACCACAGAACCCAAAAGGAGAGAGAGAGAACAAAAGGGAATGCCCTGCCACAGAGGCAGGGTGGGATGGGGGGATGGGGGCTGGGAGGGATACTGGGACCCATGGTGGTGGAAAATGTGCACTGGTGGAGGGATGGGTATTTGATCATTGTATAATTGAAAACCAAGCACAAAATTTGTAAGTCTGCAACTGTACCTCATGGTGTCTCACTAATAAAAATTAAAAAAAAAAAAGGTAGACATCTGATCTTGGAGGACCCAGTAGATCCTAAGAATGAGAAGTGTGTTAGGTTGAGTAAAACAGAAACAAAGAATTTTGAGCAGGGCTATTAAATTTACATGTGAGATTTATGATTTTAAAGGATCACTTCTATTGCTGTGTAGAGCAGATTAGAGTAAGGCAAGACAAATGAAAAAACCCTAATTAACATTTCAAGTTTATGCTGAGATTATACTATATCTTGGATTAAGGGAGAAGCAGTTTAAATAAAGACAGAGAATTTTGGAGGCAGAATCAATAGCATTGATGAGAAGTTGAAAATGTATGCAAGCTGCATAATTAAATGTAGGAGCACTTGTTTGTTCACTGCAGCACTATTTATAATAGCCAGGATCTGAAAAAAACCTGAGTGCCCAAGAACAGATGACTGGTTAAAGAAACTTTGGTACATCTACACAATGGAATACGATGCAGCTGTTAAACAAGATGAAGTCATGAAATTTGCATATAAGTAGATCAACATGGTCATGCTAAGTGAAATGAATCAGAAAGAGAGGAACAGACATAGAAGGACTGCACTCATTTGTGGAATATAAAGTAACAGAATGGGATACTAATGTCCAAGAATAGTAGAGAACAGGACTAGGAGGATTGCTCCATGGCTTGGAAGTCAGTCCCACATGTTGAGGGAAAAGGCAGCTCAGATAAAGCAGGACCACCAAGTAAAGGATGCTTAAAGGGTCTGCTTGGGATGGGAGATGCATGCTGAAAGACTATAGACCAAACGGGATAACCACTTAATACCTGCAATGCAAACAACAACACCCTAAAGGAAGGAGAGAGAGAGAGAGAGAGTAAAAGGGAATGCGCCTGCCACAGATGTGGGTAGTGGTAGGGGTAGTGGTGGGGTGGTGGCAGGGATACTGGGAACATTGGTGGTGGAGAATGGGCACTGGTGGAGGGATGGGTACTCGATTATTGTATGATGGAAATGTAAGCATGAAAGTTTGTAAGTCTGTCACTGTCCTCCTGTTCACTGATTTGCACGAGCGGGCCCAGTAACGTCTCCATAGTGAGACTTGTTGTTACTGTGTTTGGCATATCAAATACATCACGGGGAGCTTGCCAGGCTCTCCAGGGGTGGAGGAGTTGAACCTGGGTTGGTCGGTCGGGTCAGCAGCTCGCAAGGCAGATGCCCTACCGCTGTGCTATCGCTACAACCCCTACAACCCTCTATTTCAATACCCACCAGAAATGCTAGCGGTATTGCAAGTCTGTAAAAGAAATTAAAAATTAATTTTTGATGCTTATTGTAAGGGCTGGAGCGATAGCAAAGCGGTAGGGCGTTTGCCTTGCACGCAGCCAACATGGCCGACCCGAGTTCAATTCCTCCGCCCCTTTCAGAGAGCCCAGCAAGCTACCGAGAGTGTCTCGCCCGCACGGCAGAGCCTGGCAAGCTCCCCGTGACGTATTCGATATGCCAAACACAGTAACAATAAAGCTTCACAATAGAGACGTTACTGGGCCCGCTTGAGCAAATCGACGAACAACAGGAGGACTGTGATGCTGTGTGATACCGCTTACTGTAAAAAAGAAAAAAAAGAGGACAAACTTCCCAACATGTGGAATTGAGTTCGTCAGTCACTAATGGCACATATGGTTGCACTCTACCATAAGTATACCCCTATCTTGCTAACGGATTTTACACATTTTCAATAGTAACCTTTTATGCATTTTCAATAATGAATTAACATCTTATTAAAGTCACTTAGCAATCAATTACCACAAATTGACTTTTATTGATTTATTTTCTGATAATTCCATTAGCCTCTCCTTTAAATTTTGTTGAAGCAAGTAATATGAAATACATCTGTCATATGTCTGCTAAGGGGGCAGGCTGGGGGTGGGGGGGTGGGGAGGGAACCTGGGGACATTGGTGGAGGGAGCAGGGACACTGGCTGTGGGACTGGTATTGGAACATTGCATTCCTGAAACAACCCGATTATGAACAACTCTGTAAATCACTGTATCGTAATAAAAATGAAAAAAAAAGTAGCTTTCTTCACATTAAACAAGCATCATTTCTATTGTCAAATTACAAATATGCCATAACTACTAATTAAGTGACTGTGATAATGAAATAAAAATATAGAAATAGGAGAAAAAGAATTACTTAATATTTTAATAATGTAAAGTCCTAAAATATTCATTTAGCCATTATCCTATTCCTTTAGTTCCACTATCAAATATAAAAGGTAAAAATCCAATTCACTATGCAGATTAAGTATTTGAACATTGACCCTCATTCACTGTTGGTGGGAATGTCAACTGGTCCAGTCTTTTTTGACCCAGCAATTCCACTTCTTGGCATCTATTTCAAGGGCCCCCCTCCAAAATAAAACATATGTATATATACACACATACATATTTGTACTTCTATATTAAATGCAGCACTATTCACAATAGCCAACCTTTGGAAACAACCTGAATGTACATGAACAAATGAATAGAGAAAGAAAGTATAGCACATATACACAATGGAATACTACTGGGCTATTAGAAAAGATAAAACCGTACAATTTGCTACTAGGTGGTAGATCTGGAGAGTATAATGCTGAGTGAAGTCAGTCGGGAGAGGGACAGAAACAGAATGATTTCTCTCATATGTGGGATATAAAGAAACACAGTAAGGGACTAACCAAAGCTCAGTAACAGAAAACGAGAACTCATCTTCAGCAGGAAGCCTGCCACAGAAGGGTGATGTGGGGGAGGGGAGAATGAGTGGAGGGGACACTCTGGGAGGGTATGGTGCTGGACTGTTCTTTGCCTGAGACACTGTCATTAGCAATGTTACAATTCAGGTAGCTAAAATAAAAGAAAGAAGAAAAAAAATCTGAACATTAAAAATACTTTTGGCATTCTCCACATGGCTCTTTAATGATGGTCCTTTCCCTCATTTTCTCAGGTTATGTACTACTATGAATTTTGTGTTCATCATCTCTTCTAGTTAAGGTAAAGGCCCTCCCGTTGATCATCGATTTGCTCGAGCTGGCCCAGTAACGTCTCCACTGGAGACTTTGTTGTTACTGTGTTTGGCATATTGAATACGTCACGGGGAGCTTGCCAGGCTCTGCTGTGCAGGTGAGATACTCTCGGGTCAGCCATGTTGGCTGCGTGCAAGGCAAACGCCCTACCACTGTGCTATCGCTCCAGCCAACATGGCCGACCCGAGTTCGATTCCTCCGCCCCTCTCGGAGAGCCCGGCAAGCTACCGAGAGTATCTCACCCGCACGGCAGAGCCTGGCAAGCTCCCTGTGACGTATTCGATATGCCAGACACAGTAACAACAAAGTCTCCAATGGAGACGTTACTGGGCCCGCTCGAGCAAATCGATGATCAACGGGAGGGCCTTTACTTTACTTACTTTACATCTCTTCTAGTTAATAATACTACATACATATCCTAATTTATGCACTATTTCCTATTACTTGAAATTTATGTAAAGAGCATTAAACTATGATTTGGTGATTTGCATTTTAAAATTAAATTATGTGCTTTTTTCTTTTTTTGCTTTTTGGATCAGCCCTGGAGATGCACAAGGGGTTACCGCTGGCTCATGCACTCAGGAATTACTCCCTGGGGGTGCTCAGGGGACCATACAGGATGCTGGGAATCGAACCTGGGCCGGCAGCATGCAAGGCAAACACCCCACCCGCTGTGCTATTGCTCCAGCCCCTAAATTATATGCTTTTTATATTTTCCTATGTAGAGCTGTTGTTATTACAAACAAGTGAGTTTTAAACAATCTTTTTGGACATTTCTACATGGTATAATCTAGAGCAGAACTTCTAGAACATAAGAGTCTCAATCCATTGTTTTCAACTTTAAAAGTTAAGGCCAGGGCCAGAGAGATAGTACAGCAGATAAGACGCTTGCCTTGTACATGGCTGATCCAGGTTCAATTACAAGCATCCCATATAGTCCAGTGAGCCTCCCAGATGGTCCCCCATACCTCCCAGGAATGATTTCTGAGTGCAGAGCAAGAACTGACCCCTGAGCACCACCAGGTGGGGCCCAAAACAAAACAAACAAAAAGTTAGTGCCAAGTACCAGAAAGATAGTACAATGGGTAGGACAATTGCTTTGCATGCAGCTGACCGAGGCTTATTCTCCAGCATCCCATATGGTCTCCTGTGCTCACCAGGAGTGATCCCTAAGTACAGAGCCAGGAGTAGGCCCCATGTACAGTTGGGTATGCCCTTATTACATGTCCCCCCCAAAAAAAGATACATAAAATAATGCTTTGGGAACTAATGCTGCGTAGTAGTAAGATAGGGACACTGCTGAAATTCCTCATTGGGGAGAACAGTTATGAAAGGTCAATATAACAAGTAAGATTTATAGTTTTAAAATAAAAAGAAAAGATTAGTAATTATGAAACGATATATGCCTATGACAAGAAATTTTCTTTCCAACTATATTTGTATGTATACAGGTGTGTATATATATATACGTACACACATCTACATATGTATATACGTGTGTGTGTGTGTGTGTTTTGGGACCACACCTGGTGATGATCAGGGATTACTCCTGGATTTAGAAATTACTTAGGAATTACTCCTGTGGTGCTCCGGAGACCACATAGGATGCCAGGGTTCAAAATGGGGTCTGCTGCACACAAGGCAAGGGCCCTCCCCTCCCTACAATACTACTGCTCCAGTACCTCAACAGTATTTTTTACATGGAATATTATTCTTTGCTTGTGAACCTTCCAAAAGCAGACCACTGATCAAATTTAACTTGGAGGTCATAGTATACAACCTAGTGTACAGGATAAATTCTAACTAGTTTCACAGGTTTTTTTTTTAACCTTTTCTTTTAAAGTTTATTTCTCTCTCTCTCTCTCTCTCTCTCTCTCTCTCTCTCTCTCTCTCTCTCTCTCTCTCTCTCTCTCATATACATTCCTAGCTCTGTGCTCAGCAATCACTCCTTTTGATGCTCATAGGACCATCGTGATGCCTGGGATCAAACCCAGGATGCCTGCAAGCAAAGTAAGCACCCTATCTCTGCATTAGCCCTCAGACTCTGTTTCTCTCCCTAAGTCTTCTCTTTACAGTTATAACCCCTATTCCAACTACTCTAAGCATTTAAGGGTAGAATGGTTTTATTCTACTCCCCTACACTAGTGTCCAAAAATATTAAGCATACAACACATGCTTGATAATATTAGTCAATACTGAGAACTCTGGGTTCAACGGAACCCGGAATGAGGATCCTCTGCCCATATCCCCTGCATCCAGCAACTCAGCAGTCAAAACCATAAGCCACCTCTGGCTGGCGCCAGATAATCTCGTCATTGGTCACAATCCAGAGTCACATGTCCTTCTCTCCTGGAAGGGAGAATAACACGACACATGCTATAACTATGAGGCTGAACCCTGTGCCAGGTTGTTTCATTCAGGGCGCCCCTGAAGGGGCCGGGTGAGAGGTGAGACCCCTGCCTGCCTCAATGGACCCGGCCTTGGCAGCTAAAAACCTCCGGAACTCAACCCTTGCCATGCTCACGACCACTCTCCACATACTCAGGATGAGTCTCATCCACGAGTGAACCTATTCTTGGACAACTTATACCTCACACCACCCATACTCCAAGAGTTCCGCACCACATTTGATGGGGTTTTTAAATAAAAAGGAATCAATCTTAGAAGTATATATATTTTTTACACACACACACACACACACACACACACACACACACACACACACACACAATCTTTCACAACATGTTAGTGATCTCTTAGTGAGGGCTTAGTGGCCCCCGGGTGAAATACAACAAACTTCACACGCTTTCCTCTAAGGAAACTTTTTTGTAAAATTTTCATTGGTTTTTCATAATGAACAATACAAAATTATTTTGGTTCTGCCTTGGAGCGGAAGTTGGGGTTCAGGATGGAAACATCCAAAATACGGTGCTGGGAAGGTGTAAGGGTGGTGGGATTGGTGTCTGAATATTAAATGCAATCGAATATTGTGAACTACTTTACAAAATTAAAAAAATAATACTAGTCAATAAAGTACCTCTTACTTTAAAAATATACTGATATTGATCACGATCATGATCATCCTGTTGTTCGTCGACTGCCTCAAGCAGGCACCAGCAACGTCTCCTTTGCCCTAGCCCTGAGATTTTAAAAAGTGCCATCTTCAAGGCTCTTTCAGGGTTAGGAGAATGAGACCCATCATTGTTACTGGTATTTGGCATATTGGGTATGCCACGGGGAGTTTGCAGACTCTGCCGTGTGGGCAGGTTACATTCGGCAGCCTGCCAGGTTGTCCAAAGAAAGAATGAGATAATAAGATGTCGCACAGCCACGAATATCAGAAACTGATATTGATAATAACTCTAAAAATGTAACTGTACTATCATAATTCAACTGTTAAAATTAATTAACTTTAATTTTAATTGTGATTTAAAGAGAACTTTGTACTTTACATGCCTGGTTGTTTTCATGAGCTGCAGAATTATCTGTTCCATTATATTCTGTAAGTTGTTCTTTTCTTTTTTCTCTACTAAGAATTTTATGTACATCATCTTCCAGTCTGTTGAAGAATCCTCCATCATGTGATAAACTTTGAGAAGACATCAATTCCTGTTAAAAATAAATTTAGATATCATTTGAAATTAAAAAGTGTAAACTTTTCACAAATCTAGTTAACTACCAAAAGAACAAAGAATGAAAAATAAAACTGAGATAGTCATCTGATTCTTCTCTATCTCCAGAATATAAAAGAGACACACTTACAGATGCTCCTTTTTTGGTTCTTAATGATGACTATTACTAAATTTTTTTATCTATACATCAAAGGATTTACTCATTAAATGTGCATATTTTGACAGAGTTTAATATATTCACAAGCAATGTGCTAAAATAAGAATTTTGGAGTTTCTTTTTTTGAACCACAATGGGTGATGCTCAGGGGACACTCCTGGCAGCGTTCAGGGAAGCAGGTAAAGCTAGGGATTCACATGTGAGCCTCCTGCATGCAATGCATGCACTCAGTCTTTGAAACTGTCTCTATGCCCTACCATTAATTTTATAGTACTTTCATCATCCCCAAAATAAACCTGGATCCATTAAGTCATTCCCCATTGCCTTTTATCTCTCAGTTCTTGATTGTCTCCAGGGCAATACTAATTAATCCACCTTCGGTCGGTATAGATTTTCCTATTCTGGACTTATGAAACACATGGTCTGAATATGCAGTCTCCTGTGACTGTCTTCCTTAGGAAAATGCCTTCAAGGTTTATTCATTCACTCATACATATCTGATTAACATTACATACCTTAAATAATACCCTGTGAAAGACACAACACATTTTAGTTCTAGATTCATTAACATTCTGATATGATTTGGGGCTAGTATGAACAACGATGCCCCAAAATAGCATGTACGGTTACTGTGTATCATGTTTTCCATTATCTTAGCTGTAGAAATGTATGTACAGTTACTGTGCATCAAGTTTGCCATTCTCTTAGTTATAAAAAGGCAGGCAGAAATTCATTTGTACATTATAGTAAAATTTTAACCTTTTGAGAAACTGCTAGTTTTCCAAAACATTCACATGTTTTACAATTCTATCTGCAGTGTATAGGGACTTTAATTTTTCTACGTTCTCACCAGTCTTGTACAATTTTTTATTGCAGCTACCTTAGAGGGTGTGAAGAGGTGTCTATTGTGGTTTTGAGTTGCACTTCACTTATAGACAGTGGGGCTGAGCATCTTTTCATATTCTTACTGGATATTTACACTTTTAGTGGGGAAGGCAGGGATTTTTTTTTTTTTTTGCTTTTTGGGTCACACCCGGCAAGACACAGGGGTTACTCCTGGCTCATGCACTCAGAAATCACTCCTGGCAGTGCTCGGGGGACCATCTGGGATGCTGGGAATGGAACCCGGGTCAACCGCATGCAAGGCAGACACCCTACCAACTGTACTATCACTCCAGCCCCAGGCAGGGATTTCTTTACTATAATCCTTAGTCCCACTGACTTTTCTGTTTGTTTTTGAGTTGTAAATATTTTATATTTTCAGGACATAAATTTCATATATTTAATTTGTAAAATTTTCTCTTTCTGGGAAAGATGTGAAAAAATGTGTCAAAAAATATCCATATAGAAAACCTAGAAAGAAACCACAAGAAAATTTCAAGTTGAAAAGTAAAAAAAAATCTAAGTGAGATTTTCAACAGAGGAGTCAAGAGCAGATTTGGGCAACCAGAAGAAAAACTGAACTTAAATATAAGACCAGGGAAATTAGAATGAGAAAATACAAAGAGAACCTAAAGAATTTATGGATCAGGGAAGAATAAATGAATAAAAATAATGCTGGAATCCCTGGTAAGAGAAAAAAGAGGCGAAGAGAATATCTGTGGAAATAACAGCTAAGAACCACTCAAGTACAATTAAGAAATAAACATAATTAAAACCCAAGCACAAAAATTTGTAAGTCTACAACTGTACCTCACAATGTCTCACTAATAAAAATTAAAAAAAGATATAACTATAAACATTTAAGCAGTTCAACACACTTAAAACAAGAAAAATATCCATATACAGCAAGACACATTCTAACCAAATTTCAAAAGACAAAAGAAGTCTTCACATAATAGGAAATCCCCCACCAAAAAAAAAATTATCAAATTTCTCTCCAAAAACCCCGGAAACCAGAAAACAGTGTGTCAATCGTATCCAAGAGTTAAAGGAAAAAAATTATGTTAGTAATTCCTTACAGCAAAACTGACCTTCAAGGACGCACCTCTGAAGGATGTGATGTTGGAATTATGTACAAGACAAATCATTACTGTAAACCAGAGAATTTCAATTAAATTTTTTTAAAAATAAAATTTGCCTTAAAAATGTAGAGGATGGGGGCTGGAGCGAGAGCACAGCGGGTAGGGCGTTTGCCTTGCATGCAGCTGACCCGCATTCGATTCCCAGCATCCCAAATGGTCCCCTGAGCACCGCCAAAGGTAATTCCTGAGTGCAGAGCCAGGAGTAACCCCTGAGCATCGCCATGTGTGACCCAAAATTTTTTTTTTAAAAATGTGGAGGATGGTGACTGTTAGAGTGGGCAGAGTGTTTGTCTTGCACACGACCAATGCAGGTTCAATCCCAGGCAATCTAAGTCCTGGCATCCCATATGGTTTCTGAGCTAGACCAGATCCCCAAGTGCAGAACCATTAGTAAACCCTGAGCACTGCTGGGTGTGGCCAACAACAGAAACAAAAAAAACTACATATCTAAAAATGGTTAAGATGACAAACATATACAAATGTATCTAGACTTTATTATTTCTTTGTACCTAGACTTTATTTTTTATTATTATTTTTATTGAATCACTGTTAGTTACAAAACTTTTATGTTTGAATTTCAGTCATACAATGATCGAACATGCATCCCTCTATGTTTTCCACCTCCAATGCCCCCAGTATCCCTCCCCCACATCCCTTCTCACCCCTGCGGCTACAGCAGTCAACAGCAACTCCTGGGTATTATGGTTTGCAATACAAATTACAGATAATGAGACGCCATCATATTTGTCCATTATCTATTTTCAGCACACATCTCCCATCCTGGGTGATCGCTCTAACCATCATTGACTTAGTGATCCCTTCTCCATCCCGGTTTCCTTCTACCCAAGCTCATAACGCAGGCTTCAAACTGTGGAGTGATCTTCCTAGCCCTTGTCTCTATTGTCCATGGGTGTCAGTCTCATACTACAATATCTTTTATGCCACAAATGAGCGCAGTCATTCTATATCTGTCCTGTTCTTTCTGATTTATTTCACTTAGCATAATATTCTCCATAGCCGTCCACTTATAAACAAATTTCATGACTTCATCTTTCATAACAGCTGCATAGTACTCCACTGTGTAGAAGTACCAAAGTTTCTTTAACCAGTTATCTGTTCTTGGGCACTGGGGTTATTTCCAGACTCTGGCTACTGTGAACAGTACTGCAATGAACAGACAGCTGCAGACGTCATATCTATTATGCTTTTTTGTACCCTTGGGATATATTCCCAGAAGTAATATTGCTGGGTCAAATGAGAGCTCGATTTCTAGTTTTTTGAGAACCATCCATATTGTTTTCAAAAAAGGCTGGACCCTTCAGTATTCCCACAAACAGTGAAGGAGAATCACTTTCTCTCCACATCCACACCAACACCAGTTGCTTTTGTTCTTTTGAATGTGTGCCAGTCTCCGTGGTGTAAGATCAATGTTGTTTTGATCTGCATCTCGCCACGCCCAGATGGATTCACTAGTGAATTCTTCCAAATGTTTAAAGAGGGCCTACTGCCAGCTCTTTTCAAGCTTTTCAAGGAAATTGAAGAAACAGAAATACTCCAAAATAGTTTCTACGAGACACATATCAACCTAATATCAAAAACAGACAGAGACACCACAAAAAAGAAAATTACAGGCTGACATCCCCGAATAACATGGATGCAAAGATCCTCAACAAAATATTAGCAAATAGAATTCAACAACTCATCAAAAAGATCATAACCACGACCAAGTGGTATTCATCCCGGGGATGCAAGGATGGTTTAAGATTCACAAGTCAATCAACATAATGCATCATATCAATTAAATATAAAAACATATGATCATATTAATATTAATAGATGCAGAGAAAGCATCTGACAAGATCCAGCACCCATTCATGATGAAAACTCTCAACAAAATGGGAATTGAAGGAACTTTATCAATACATCAAAGCCATCTACCACAAGCCCACGGCAAGCATTATCCGATGGAGAAAAACTGAAAGTTTTCCCTCTAAGATCCGGGACAAGGCAAGGATGCCTACTATCGCCACTTCTATTCAAGATAGTACTGGAAGTACTTGCCATAGTAGTTAGGGAAGAAAAAGATACTAAGGGCATCCAGATAGGAAAGGAAGAAATCAAGCTCTTACTATTTGCAAATGACATGACACTATATTTAGAGAACCCTAAAGCCTCTACCAAGAATCTCCTAGAAACAATAAACTTGTATAGTAAAGTTGCAGGTTATAAAATCAATACCCAAAAGTCCAGGCATCCCTATATGCAAATAATGAAAGAGAAGAAAGTGATATGAAAAAAAGCAATGCTGTTCACAATCATGCCTCAGAAAATCAAGTATCTTAGAATCAGCTTAACTAGGGAGGTAAAGGACCTTTACAAAGAAAACTACAAAACGCTACTTCAGGAAATAATAGAGGGGCTGGTGCAATAGCACAGCGGGTAGGATGTCTGCCTTGCACGCAGCCGACCCAGGTTCAATTTCCAGCATCCCATATGGTCCCCTGAACACCGCCAGGAGTAAATCCTGAGTGCAGAACCAGGAGTAACCCCTGTGCATTGCCGGGTGTGACCCAAAAAGTAGTCACTTTTACTGTCCTCCCGTTGTTCATCTATTTGCTTGAGCGGGTCCAGTAACGTCTCCATTTTGACAATTGTTACTCTACTTGGCATATCAAATACGTCATGGGTAGCTTGCTAGGTTTTGCCGTGTGGGCGAGATACTCTCGTTAGCTTGCCAGGTTCTCCGAGAGGGGTAGAGGAATCAAACCTGGGTCAGCCAGGTTGGCAGCATGCAAG